AGCGGATATCGTCCTCTTTTGGAAGGCCAAACTAAGTAGTTTTGCATTCACAACGAAACACAGCGTCTCACGACATGGCGGCAGCAACAATACTACAGCGAGAATAAAAGTTACGCCTTCTTTCTTTGAGTGAACATCTGGGCGGCGTTTTGCAAATCTTCCCACATCGTGACGTAGACGTGTGGTTGACTCTTAACTTTTATAAAGAATATCTCTTTGGATTTGAGACTTTAGTCTTTGCAACTTTACAGATCTTCTTTATGCACCAAGAACTTGTAACATTCCAAAGAGAAAGGAAAAATTGAAATCGCATCATATGACCCCTTTAATAATGTAATGTTGGTTCTTGAAATATTAACACTTACATTGAGATGAAAAGCTTTACTATAAATCATCCTTACCAGCATTACGAAGTCTCTCTTTATACTGCTGATCAAGCTTCTTCATTCTCTTCTGGTACTCCTGCAGCGTGCCTGTAGAAATGCATAGGTGATCTATTTTACAAATTTTTAGCTGACATTTTTTATCCACAGAGATGTATTGTACACTTATTACAGGGACAATCCCATTGGAATAACCTGTCTTGATCAAGAGCACAATGGTGGTAGATTACATTATTTGAACAACCTTTTGTTTACCAGCCCAGTTCATCAACTATTAGGCTACATCATATTTTTAGACCACTATCCATCAAGCCAGGATATTTTTCTCAAAAAAATAAAAATAAAACCCCCAACAACAACAACAAAAACATCAAAATATATTATATTTTGAAGGTATCACTGTCCCTGTGCTAGCAGAGACAATTTTCTCCGTAATATATTGTGTTGTTAACAGGCTGCCTTCTACCACTTGTTTTACTGAATAACAACATGTGAACAAACAATAATGCTTTTATATAGAGTTTATACATGTTCAGTACCCTAATAGTTATACTAGTAAAGGTAACAGTAATAGTAGTATATATATATTTTCCCAAAGAAAAGCATAGGTTTGTTGATGTACAGTAACATTTGTAAATAAAGGAAAATATAATTTCAGCATACTTACATATTTTGACTACAAAATTACTTGAGTATTTCTAAAAAATATATATAATTTCAATAGTGAATTTATGTTCTTCTAGTCACCTTCTTGCAGTTGTTGTAGCTGTCTTTTCAGGGATGCCAGTTTGTCCTGATACATCCTGAAATCAACACAAAAACAAAATATTTTAAAGAAATTATTCAGTTTTATTTCATAGCATGCAAATAATAGCAGAAATGTGTCATATACATGATTTTCACAGGAAAGAAAGAAAGTATAGATTAAAAACTTAATATTAAATAGATATGTGCATTATCAAAAACAATAATAGTAATAAAATAAAAGTTTTGAAAAAATGGCAGTGAGTAATATATACTTGTATGACATACACAGACAGTACTGTAATGCAGAGTTTATTTCATTTTAATAAATAATACTCAATTTGTGTATCTCTTGTCATGAATGAATGCTAGTCAATTGGTACTTACTGTTCTTTGATTTGTGTCATATACATGATTTTCACAGGAAAGAAAGAAAGAAAGTATAGATTAAAAACTTTATATTAAATAGATATGTGCATTATCAAAAACAATAATAGTAATAAAATAAAAGTTTTGAAAAAATGGCAGTGAGTAATATATACTTGTATGACATACACAGACAGTACTGTAATGCAGAGTTTATTTCATTTTAATAAATAATACTCAATTTGTGTATCTCTTGTCATGAATGAATGCTAGTCAATTGGTACTTACTGTTCTTTGATTTCAACATAATCGTTCTCATCATGTTTGGCCAGATCTGTTTCACTGGCATCTTCCGTGTCTATAATAATAACAAACAATATAGCAATACATTAATTATACACTATAGGATATGACAGTTATGGAAGAACTTGACTATCTTGCACAAAGCACGGATTTGACCCCACCAAACTACTTTGGGATGCCAAACGTTTGGACAGAGTTTATTGAAGTGATAACTGCACATATACAGCACCATCTAGCGGACAGACATGGTATCTCAATGTCATTTTCTATGGTAATTAAACCAGATATTACATGTTGTATAATATATTATATTATATTCTAATATATTATATGTTTGTATTATCTGCTATCTGGGAACTGTCACAAGTTGGTTCTAAGACTAAATCTGAAGTACCAATAATAAACAAAGACCTAAGATAATTAAAATGACACAAATAAACAAAGCACACATTTCAGCCCTAATGCAAAGACAACTACCCACACTAAAAGACAAATACTATATCATCAGCTGCTAATGAAGAAACTTGCATTCATGTAGCTGCTTTTATCCAGGTGAGATTTTTTTTTAATTAACTTCAATTCAGCAATGATGCATAATTGATCAGAACTGACAAGATTTTTTACTTCTAGTAAACACTGTACTTGTGAACTGTTCATCAAAGAATCCCGAAAAAGGTGCATCACAGTTTTACAAAATTATTAAGAAGCACAACATTGATCATAATAAGAAATGTTTCTTGTACATCAAATCAGCATATTAGAGTGACTTCTGAAGGATCATGTGGCACTGAAGACTGGAGTAATGACTGCTGAAAATTCAGCTTTGCCATCACATTATATATATATATATATATATATAAAACAAAAACAGTTATTTTAAATATTGTTATATTGTTTTTCTGTATTTTTGATCAAATAAATGCAGACTTGGTGAGAATAAAAGACTTCTTTTGAAAATCTTACTGACCCCAAACTTTTGACTGATAATATACAATTTTTCTACAAAGAACTTGGAGCAAAAACATTTCTGCAAGATTGTTGAAGGATAGTTAACATATTGACATTAACCTTTTTAACAGTACAGTTGTTGTTTAACATTTCTATATCGGTATGAAGGGAGAAAATTATATTTTACCACTTTAAACTTTTTGATTTCACTACTTCATTTCAATTGTCCATTTGACCAATTAAGTTTGAAAAGGACAAATAGTATTCATAAAGAGAGAGAGTTTTGTAGTTTCTAAATTAATATAAAATCATGATAACAGCATGCACAATACATACAATACAATTCAAAAATGGAGTTTAAAGTAATCTGCCAATGTCACAAGAAAAAAAAAAAGATGCTGTGTAGTGGTTCAATGGATCACAAATCTCACGGTTCAGATCACATTACGGTTTTTGACCCATGGATCGGATCATTTTTCGCATCAGCATGAAAAGAAAAATATTTCAATTTAACTTGCTTTCCATTTATTACTTAAAGCGAAGTACTTCTTTGATACCACAGCAAATACTACTAGATTAACTAAGAAAGTTTAAACATGATTAAAGAGACAAGAGAACAGCCAGTGAAAATAAGAACAAATACACAAATTACAAGCATAGATAAATACAACAGAATATGTTACAAATAAAATAAGGTTGGTAGTATTCAAATACAGAAATGTAGTAATTAGGGAAAATAACACTGCATAGTGTTCACTGTATAAATATAACTTTTACTCTCGCTGTAGTATTGTTGTTGCCGCCGCCGCCATGCCGTGAAGGCGCTGTGTGCTTCGTTGTGAAAGCGAAACTACTTTGGTTGTCCTTCCGAAAGAGGACAATATCCGCTTCGTCATGCCTGGAGCTGATCCGTGCTGGTCACTGAGGAAATACATCAACTTCGCGCTGTGGATCGCCGGATCGGCTTTCACCGTGGACGAAGCGGAGTCCAGCCCGGGGTCGTCACATGTGGTTGCCGCAAGCCCGCCGGACGCTCCTTCGTCGAATCCGCCGGCCGCACCGTTCTCAAGCCCGCTTCCGCTCACTCAAGCCGGCGGCCTCCGCTCACTCTAGCCCGCCGTGTTTCGTTGTAAAAGCGTAACTACTTTGTTGGCCTTCCAAAAGAGGACACGACTAGAAATCAGTGGTTAAGTTGTATTTACAACACTGTTCCAGAACAGTAGGCTCGTCAGTAGGTCACGTGTGTGCTGATGGCTCTGAAGTGAACAAACCCTGGAACATAACCTGCTCCGGAGCAGGTTATCTTCAGAGAGCAAGTTGCTATGGTTACTTACATACCCTGAAAGTAACCTCCGATTTTGGAACCGAAAGCTGGGGTTAACCGCTCTCTTATCCTCAAACATACCCGGGTATGTCACATAATCTGCTTTCTGAAATACACCCCTGACTTCGAGGCTGTATGCATGAAAACAACAACAACATCCTACATATTGTATTTGCTTCCTGACGCGTGCTAACGGCTAACTGATTATCAACAGGCTGGATAGCACATAAAACATACAACTATGAGAAAATGCATAACCATTATACGGTTAAATGCTAACACAGCCATAATTTAATGACGCAGACGAGGTTGCAAAAAGCCAGCGAGCTCTAAAATAAACAAAACAACTCGACACATGTACACACTTTCCTGCATGTTTACTCTTCACAGGGCCAGTATTTCATTACCAATATACAGCCAGTTCACTCATTAATAAATGAAACATGTCTTTCAATCCATAAATCATACGTGAATGGGATTAAAAGGTAAATAAACTTCAACTATTGTGCGTAATCACCTTCTTCCGAGTCTCTGCCTCTGAAACTGCGATCTTCGTCTTCATCCACACTGTCTAGCTCCTCCTCGTCGTTATAATAATCCACCATGGGTGACAGTAAAGTCGAGGCCATTTATTATATTCAAAAACTGATAATATTGCAGGAAATGCCTATGTGTAAACAACCACACTGCACCGACAACGTTTTCAGTCTCGATTCGAGTCTCTTTTTTCAATGGAGGGTAGGCCGAGGAATCTGATTGGTGGAGATGTTCGAGCAATGCATGCTGGGAAATGTAGTTTGAACAGCCTGTGCGCAAGTATGACATAAGGGAAAGAAGAAAATGGTAAGAGAGAGTGAGTGTGTGTGTGTGTGTGTGTGTGTGAGAGAGAGAGAGAGAGAGAGAGAGAGTATAGTCTCTCCGCGTTTCAAATGTATTGTTGTTATTGTCATTGAAGGAACATGGAGATTTTCTGAAGTTGTCTGCACGCTAAACATTTCTGCCCTTCAGTCATGCACTATTATCTCGGTAAGCGTATTAATGTCATTATGAAAAGACATAAAAGAAAATATATGCTCATCTATGATTAAGTGCCATTATTTGTCTGTAATAGGAATTGTTTTGAATGCACACTGAGTTTCATTTCCATCCACAAACTGGTTTGAATAGGGTTATGTTTCATGCATTGTGCAAAGTTCATTCGTCATGTATTCACAAACAATGTAGCCTATGTTTTTGTAATTGCTTATCATCATTGCCAATTTAGTTTTCCTCACGAACAATTGTGTAGTAAGTGAAATAAGTGATACTGACTAATTTATAAAATCTAGAAAATGTGTATTAGAAATATATTAAAAATTGTTTTCGAACAGCATCTCTCGATTGTGTTGCATAAAACAGGCATACTACTGTTGCCGCCGCTGCTGCTGCTAGAAATAATAATAATAATAATAATAATAAAGACATTAGAGAACAAATAATAGTAAAGAACTATATTAGAAACTTGATACAAATTACAATAAGAAACCAACTGTATAGGATAAAATGGGTAGAGCAACAATAACAAAACAACATAAAAATTATAGCTAATAATAATAGCTCATTGTAATAATAATAATAATTATAACATCATCATAAAATATATTTGTTAGGTGATCAGTTAGCTATTAGATTCACAGATTGGAATAACAGGTGTTTAACATAAGATTCAGCAAAAATTGATCCAACTCATGCTTGGTCAGACACATGCTACACATAAATATTGTAATATATTATATTAACTGGCCATGCGAGGTAATCTACGTTAAATCCTCGATCTAATTATCATTACACTAGTTTATAATCCTATCATAGCCTTTTTCAGGAATCTGCCACTGTGTCATCTCTATTGTGTCTTTACGGCTTGTTCCTCACTCAACCGGCAGGTGGCGACGTTGAGTTTAAAAGCTGTTTGACTCGTGAGATCGTTTGTCAGAGCTGGTACCTTGTAGCAGGTACGATGGGGTTTTAAAAGCGAGAGACGCTTGTCGGGTCTTTGTCAGTGGCGCGGGGTTTAGTACAGTCTTTATGCTGGATATCATAACACGAACTGTATGGACGTTTTATCATCACACTGACGGGAGAGATAGACATGACGTCTGTTGAAAATAAAGCAGGTTGATGCATTTTCAGGTGTAGGAGCACCAAGACGCCAATTGCAATGACTTTGGAAGTTTATCTCCCTCAACATTCCACCTTACAAGGGCTACAGGAGAAATAAGGTGGATTTGTACTGTTCATCGTTGAGGAGAGCGTTCATTCGCCTGAAGACATTTGCTTTTAACCGGACTTCTATGGAGTTGGACCTGGATTAAAGAAAAAGCTTCGCTGACTTGGTAAATCCCGTTTTTTTTCTTGGCATTCACATTTATTGTGGCTTTGTCAGCTCAACTGTTTTGTCTTGCAGGGGTATTTGATATTTGTAATGCGCTGCGCCGTCAATTAAAAGCGTCTTTATCGTATCTGGTGTCACTGCTCGCCTCTCCATAGATTACCTCTGCGCTCGATTGATTTTCCCTTCATAAAGTAGAACATAACGTTACTTGATTACAACTGGGTAAGTTTGTTTACACTCCTAGACTAAATTCAGTATTTCCAGAAAATTTGTTTGTGACGTACTATGTTGACATACGTGAATTATTTTATGATTTCATGCATTTTTAATAGTAAAGTTTTCATGTGCTCTAAAGACAGATAGGCCTATGTAGCCTATGATTCTACTATTTGATTAGCTACTTCTAATAGCCATACTAGATTGTTTTTGTCATATGTGACGCAATGGATTTTTACGCTTTATTTTACACTTTAAAGTTGGAAAAGCCTTGGACTTGCTAACACAAAAATGTAAAACCCAGACACACACACACACACTGTATTATTTCCTGATTTTTAATAGTGAATAGTAAAATTCTGGCAAATGTAACATTTTTACAAATGAGAGAAAATTAAGACAAAAATGAAGAGTGAGGGTAAAAGTGCTTTGCGCATCTTTAACGTTGGTTTGCCAATCTGCCCCAAAAAAAAAAACTCGAGAAAAAAAGTGCTTTGCATAGACTCCTGGGTCGAGATGTTATGCACTTATTTCCGTGAGCGAATGTATGTGTGTTAGTGAACTTCACTAATTTATATGCGCACGCGGCTATTCATCCAGGAAGTCTGATAGATAGATAGACAGACAGACAGGCGACCGTGGGTCATCATAACGTTTAAAATAATCAATTTCCGGCTGGAATGAATGTTTTTAGGACGGTGAATTTTGCCCTTGAGCTCTCAGTCCCCCTACAGAAAAGAGGTCAGTATCATTTACTGCATTTCTATGAGTTTCGTGGATAAAACTGTCAAAGGTTCTGCGTGACATATATCCGTGCACATTAATTTCAAAGTCATGCAAAAATACTAAAATACAACGCAGAGTTGTTTGACGCAGAGATCCGGATGTCAGGAAGGAGTTGATTTATTTTAGCGTAACACCTGCTGGCTCTTTGCAAAGCTGGTCAGTTTGCTAATCTAACAGTTCTCAGCCCTATACCACCCAAACTTTCACTTCCTCTGCAGTGCAAATCCTCAATGCGTTCATATTCGTATAACTTCAATGCATACTGACTCGTTTAAAAAAAGGAGCGCGTGAGAAGCACTATTAGTTTATAATGCAAGTCGCTGTGTAAAGACGCACTCCAGTCGTTAAAATGAAAGTGCGTACAGTTTGACATATTCAGATATGTGAGGGCTGATGTCATGTTGGGCTGTTTATGGGTGTCCTTGGCTCTTTTTCCCTCGTCTTCAGCCCCCGCTCCTTGTGTAGCTATTTTAAGCAGCGCGTCTCTTTCACACACATGCAGCGTTCTGTCGGATGGAGATCATCATGAAGTTTATATTTATATGGTCATGAGGAGCGCAGGATAGAAATATCTCATCATGAGGATGAAGGTACATTTTTCTACCGTTATTTGGCGTTGTGCGTGAACTAGTATAGTCGTTTTTGGCTTCATTTGTAGTTGTAAAGAAATAAGTGATGATGATAAATGGCAGCTGGTGCGATTCGTATTGGTGAATTATAAAATCTTAGATGTGAATCCAGTATGTCTTTTCATATAAGCTAAGTTACAGGCTAATTATTGACGATTTCTATGCATTTTCTTTATGATTTGTCTTGTGGTCATGATGAATTGTCAATGTTTGATTCGTAGCATTTTCCGAATGAATCATTCATGTGAGTCGAATCAGTTTGACAGAACTGGGCTATTCGTTCACGAATCTGACTGAATCGTTCCGAGCGGTTCTTGAGTCAACAACTCAGTGAGTGAACTCGTTGAACCGAGGGCCGTCTTTGTCCAACAAGTTCGGTTTCTAATGATCTGATATGTTTGTTTCAGTGATAACAATTGGCAAAAAAATACTGCTTGAATAAATATTCATTTTAATCATACATTTGTTATATTTAGATCAACACTCCGATAAACGTCTTTCATTGTGGGTTGCGAATATATTTATGGTTTTCATAGAAAACAATTTCATTTTAGATTAGCAGCCTCAATTTTCAAGTAAATATGTTTCCTGTCTCGCTTTGTGTTATGTCAGTGAACCTTATGAATGATTATGCTCTGTTTTACATGCAATTACTAGGAACCCATTTGAACTCATTTTGGGGGTAGTGAAGTCATTCAGTCAAAGCAATTAAAAAGTCCTCATTTTAAACCTTCTTAGTGTGTGTGCTTGAGATTTTAGCAGTGTGATGAGGGGAAAAGTGTTTCCAAAATACCAGGCTGCTAGACTTGGTGTTTGTGGAAGATCTAGTCACAGAATTTTGTTTGCAAGGTTTGTGCCATAACTTTGAAAATGTATTTAAAAGTTTTAATTGAAGCACTTGGTAGCAGGTAAATTAGATATCTTTGAGTGCACATATTGTGCTTTTATATTAATTGAAGCACTTGGTAGCAGGTAAATTAGATATCTTTGAGTGCACATATTGTGCTTTTATATTAATTGAAGCACTTGGTAGCAGGTAAATTAGATATCTTTGAGTGCACATATTGTGCTTTTATATTAATTGAAGCACTTGGTAGCAGGTAAATTAGATATCTTTGAGTGCACATATTGTGCTTTTATGTTTGTAACAGAATGAATTTGTTCTCTAGCATAGTAGAAAAGGCTAGTGCCTAAAGATCTATGCTGGTTATACTAAAGAACTGAGCCCTGCAAGTTTTTTTTCTGTTCATTTTTATGTCCTGGTTTGAGGTTAAATGATATTTTTGCTCGATCTACAAAAATACAAAATGTTTCTAAATATGGGTTGATGTTTAATTGCCTTTAATAATTATTTAATGTAATGATTATTTAATTTAATAGAGCATAACTTAATATAATTTAATTAATTTTAGAAGGATTTTTTTGTATATTTTGTGGAAATATCATTCCACAGTATCATAAGTTCAGGAATTGTTTCAAGTCCAGAATTTCTAAGTTGGCAGCATGTTAATTAAAAAATCCTGACAGAAAATAATGTATTTAATATGATTGATATCATATAGTGATGCACCAAAATTTCGGCAACTGAAAATATTCAGCTGAAATTAAAAAAAAATATAATAATTATAATGAAATAATTAGATAATTAATTTTCAGTTTCGGCCGAAATAGTTTTGGAAAGTGACGGTTTCATTTAATTACTGCTTTTTCAATGATGTGTTTCAACTCTGTCAGTGTCAATTTTGTACAAATAATGTGAATGAGCAACAACTGGTAAATATGTCAGCTGTGTGGATGCTCGTCACTGTAACCAAAAATGATGCTAGTGTGTAAAATTTGTTGGCTGAAATATCGAGAGGCAGCTCGTTGCTGAAGAATTTACTCCAACTGATTCATTTATCACCTGAAAACACAACACCTTGAACAGCCTAAAGAGTTATATTATTCAAACTTTAATTTGGGTATTTAAAAAAAAAAAAGTAATATCATTGAATCACTAGTATCATGATAATTGTGACTGTTAATTTTACAATCTAGATTTGTTTACTTTGTGTTCTAAATTATATTTATCTCGATTTATAATAAATAGAAAATCAGATTAATTTTTTTTTTCCATTTTTGAGGTTTCAGGCTTGCATGCCAAAATGCTGCTTTTCATTTTATTGTAATAGTGTAACATTTTTGTTGGTGCTAGAGATAGAAACACATCAGTTTATTACGACCAGAATCACATTATAAGTAAGATTTCCAAATGTATACATAGGAGAACTTGAAGACAGCATAACATCTATGATCTTCAGTTGTAGTGTGGAGAAACATCAATGGATTTATGGGTTGACCTTTTGCACTTGTTGCAAATTTGGTAGCAAAGCATGGGCTGTTAATAGTGGCTGTTAATAGTGTCTTAAGCCCTTTTCGCACGGGATTAGTATTATCTGCGGACCTTGTGTGATTTTGAAATTACCCCCCCACATCTGAATTTCGTGTGGTGCATTCGCACGGGATAAGCGAAGCCTGTGATTTTACTCGAATTTACTGACTTATCTCCCGGATACCCAGATGTAAAGGCTTTGAGAGTCCCTTCTATGGTCCAGATGGATTTTAAAAAAAGAAACTAATATAGTTTTGTGTGCTGTCATTTCCATTTCACCAGGTTAAAATAATATCTCAAGCTTTATGCTTGATTTATTTGTAACACATTAACCTCAAAACCTTTTCAGCTTTCTCTTTCTGCAAATTGTATGGTGTAGCGATATGATGACAGCACCCAAAATACTATCAAACACTCCAACGCAGCTCCATTCTTCGCGGAAGATGGATAAAAATGCGCACAGCAAACAAAAACCTCGAAAAATGATATGCGACCCGCCAAATGCTGGCCGAATCACAGAGATGCCGATTCGCACGGGATTAAGATCACAGACAACCTCCGCAATTATTACAAATGACTGGAGGTCACCAGGTAATCCTAATCCCGTGCGAATAGGGCTTTTGTCTATTTGTAGTAGTATATGGGTGTTGTCATCTGCTTTTGACAGAGGCTTTGTTGTTAGGCCAACCTGAAGCCACTGCTCAATTCAGACACACACACATACTAGATCATACCACAAAACCTAATTACCACACACACTATATATCTCCTGTGTAGAGCTTGTAAAAGTTTCTGTTGTAGATCTAAAGGTGTTTGTTCATGCTCCAAAGCCTTTCCAGGCCTGCATGAGTTTATTAAGGCCAAATGGTTACAATCATCTTCCACTTCATTATTCTTCAAGGTTTCAGAGGAGTTTCAGTGACCAAACCTCTGTATAGATTCCAGCCTGTCCAAATCACCATCTCGACTAATCTTAGTTCCTCTAAAATATGAGTTATT